AATCCGAACCCCTCATTGCTGTACTCTATATACAGTACTGCAGTTCTTTATTGTATACTGTATTTAATTTACAGTACTGTTTATTCACCATGTTTACTACTGTATTAAATAAACACTGTATTTTACTTTATAAAAGATTTTTTCACTTTCCCCAAAATAATGTTGATCAATTTTAGCCATGTTTTAGCTATTGTTATGTAAAAACAACAATATGTTCTGTAATCCGAACTGTTCAATAGTCCGAACTACCCCTGGTCCCAATTAGTTCGGATTAACACGTTGAGTGCTGACTACATCAATTGATGTAGTACGTCACGAGCGCCCCTGGCGGACTACATCAAAAGCTGTAGTCGCGCCACTCCAACTTTATTGGTTCAGTGTGAGCTCAGACATAGACGGGGAACGTTGTATCGCGCGTCAGCCTGTTGTGCCAGTTCTCGAGTTTATTTTGGCGCGGATCGTTTTCAGCTCCGGGTTTTTACTTCGGCACGGGACCGTGGTAATCTCGTACTTTTGTGTGGTGTGTGTAAATGTGTTTGTGGTGCAATGGAGCCTAATATTGACGATGAATTGTTGGAGAATGTGTTCTCGGATGGTGAAAATGACTCTGAGGAGAGTTCTGACAGCTCCGATGACGACGACGGGGTGTGTCCAGCATGGAGTCCGACCCTTGGCGCCAACGGCATGCGTGACATCCCATTCACAGGTGATCCTGGACTGAAAGTGCCAATTCCCGGTAACAATAGTCCTATTGATTGGTTTGATTTATTATTAGATGTTGTATTTTTGGAAAGTATCGTATCATTGACAAACGATTACGCATTTGAATTTTTCTGTGGGCCGAATACTAATCCCAAGTCACGAATTGGAAGATGGAAAGACCTTACTCTTGAGGAACTAAGAACCTTTATAGGCTTGTTGTTGCACACTGGTTCTATTAGATTGAATCGTCTTTGTGATTACTGGAAAACCCATTACCTTTATGAAACATGTATTTTTAGCAAGTTCATGAGTCGAGACCGGTTCCAAATAATACTAAGATGCCTGAATTTTTCAAGAGTAGTGACAGAGGATAGGCCGGAACCCGCTAATGACAGATCATATAAGATCAGGAGTATCATTGAGTATTTCAACAACAAAATGCGTGAGATTTACTATCCGGATCGCGAGCTTACCATTGACGAAGAAATGATTCTATGGCGTGGTCGGTTAGTTTTCCGGCAATACATCAAGGGAAAACGCCATAAATATGGTATAAAAGTTTACTCCCTAAACGAACCTGAGGGCCTTCAACTGCGTTTACACATCTATACAGGGAAAACTGACCCATGTGCCGGTAAAGGACATACAGTAAAAGTTACCTTGATGCTAATGAACGATTTTTTGGGTAAGGGCCATGCACTTTTTATGGACAACTTCTACAATAGTTTTCTTTTGTCGTCCAAACTCCTACGTCGTTTGACTTACACAACTGGAACCTTGCGCAATGACCGTAAAAATACACCGGCAGCTGTCAAGTCGGCCCAATTGAGTAAAGGTGAAACCATTTCTAACTACGCCGAAAGTGTCATGATTGGTAAATGGCGTGACAAGAGGACTGTCTCGTACATTTCAACCCAATTCGATAATGAAATGGTCACAAGCAGAAACAAAAGGAAACAGTTGAAAGTAATGCCAAAGGCCGTTATGCAATATAACGCGCATATGAAGGGGGTTGATCGCTTGGATCAGATGTTGTCTTATTATCCATGTGAGAGAAAAACATTCAGATGGCCAAAAAAAATCTTTATTCACTTCTTGCAGGTAGTCATGGTCAATTCATTCTACCTGTATAACATGCATAACGTTGGCAACAGACTATCCCTGTATGATTTCCGACAGAAAGTACTCGAAGCACTCTTGCCCCCCAAACCAGCACCAATAATGAGGACCCCCACCACAGGCAGTATGCACAGGCTGTCAAAGAACGAAAAAAGAAGATCAAATGGAAGCCATGCACAAAAACTTTGCAGAGTATGTTCCAAAGAAGGCAAAAGGAAAGTGACCGTCTATGTTTGTGCAGTGTGCCCCGGTGAACCAGGACTTTGCGAATTGCGATGTTTCGACAAGTTTCACGAGGACATCGCCGAATAAAATGTATTATGACAATGGCGGTGGGTGGGGTTGTAAATAGTTTTTGAATAGTTTTAAATTTTTTCTATAATTGTCTTCTCTGTAAGAACAGTGTTTTTATAAATAACAATAACTCTTTCTTTGACATTGTGTGTGAACTAATTTTTTGCATTGACGATCGTTCTAAATGACACTTGGAAGGATTGTATATAATTTTGTGTGGTTATTATTTCAATAATTACCGACTTTTGTGTCAAGAAACAAGTTTGTGGGTCGTTATACACAAATGTGACAGTAAATAGACTACTTCTTCTTCGCGGTGACTTAGCAAACCGGCCCCACCGGCGGACTACATCAATTGATGTACCGGAAGTGACGTCACCAATAATGACCAAAATGGAGGCCTGGGGATCTTCTAATGACATTTTGGATGCATTCACATCATTTACTTGGTGAGTTATCAATAATCATATTTCAGCACTTTAGGCACGCAATGCTAACCCATTTCAGCACTCAACGTGTTAAAGAGGTTCTACTGTAGGTAATCCCCTTAATACTGGCACTTTAGATTTGATCATTTTGAGGTAGTTGCTTCAGTCCTCGTTGAAGATGTGTTGAGTTTTGTTAATGGCAGTTTTTAGTTTAGATTGGAAAAGGTCAGTTGGGTCTTTAGGTAATTCTTTGATGTTACTGTTGTTGATAAAATCTAAAACTTTGTTGATGTAATCGTCTAGTTTCATGATTACAATGCACTGGCCTTTATCAGCTTTGGTTGCGATACAGTCGTTCGTAATTAGTTTTCTTTTATAGATTTGATTGTTTTTTATGTGTACCCATCACAATCTCACCATCACTATAATCACAAATTACATACAACTCTTTGGAACTATTCTCTGGTGTACTGTTTTACTGTTTTTCTAATACCAGTAGTACTGTTTTTGTTATACTTCTTACCTTCCTGTTTCTTGTACACTGTCTGTAACTGTACACATTGTCTTATGCAATCACTCGTATGTTTAGATCAATATTATAACTGTATGTCAACAAAATGTTTAAACAATCACAAACGTTTATCATAAATCCAAGTGGTTATGAGCCCTGGACATTTAAATAGTTTCTGGTTTCTGGTGTATGTAGTTGAGTGTATATAGGTTAGGTTTTTCAAATGCAAAGTTCACCATAGAAAACATGTGGAAACAAACGATAGACCAACTAGAAGGATAGGTAAACTGGACTGACTGGAACTTTTAAATAAAAATTCAGCTACATGTAAATGGAGCTATGGAGGTTGTAGAAAATAAGATAGAACCTCCATAAGAACCTGATGAGTCGACAAGGGGTGAGGTTCATAACCCCAAGTTTAAATAAAACTTTAATAAATATAACTACTTTAAAATACAAAATTTCATAACCCCAAGCATAAAGATTTCCAAGTTAACTGATACAAATTAATACAGATTAACATCCACTCCCTTCCGGTACCTAACCTCCAAATCATATGCTGATAAAATCAAGGTCCATCTCTGCAGCCTAGCTGCCGCCTTGCTACGAACGCCCTTTTTAGAGCCAAAATTAGCTGTCAACGGCTGATGATCAGTTTGTAAATGCAGTGTCGTCCATAGATATATTTATGAAACTTTTTGACTCCAAAAATCAAAGCCAGAGCCTCCCGATGTAACTGGGAATAATTCCGCTCACTGGAACTTAGCGTTTTTGATGTAAAGGCAATAATTGGCCTTTCCTGACCATCGATGGGATGAGATAGAACAGCAGCCACCCCTCCGGGACTCGCATCATTGCACTAAATATGATTTTTTTAGTTAACTGATTCTGTTACTAGAGTATTTATACCTGTTATTAGCTTTTATAATAGTGTCCCCATCTCAATCGATAATGATAATATAGAACACTGCCATTAAGACTGCAAATTGACTTTTTAGCGAATTTCCCATATAGGGAATAAGCTATTACCGTAGTACTCACGGTAAGACCTGGACCCGGGACCGATTTTTTTTTTCGTTTTGAGGTCCCTAGAGGTCAAAAACACCATCCGTTCAAATTCATATATATATATATATATTTATATATATATATATGTGTCCGTTAGCGCGATAACTCGAGCAAAAATTATCCGATTTTGATAAAATTTGGTACAAACGTGTAAACCTACGTTTATTCGAACGAGTTCGCGAACCAGCATGATCGGACCATGGGAACGGGGGTTTATGGGGGCTTTTATGGGGTAAAAATGGGTTTTTCCCATTTTTGACCCAAAAAACATAAAATTTTGCAATTTCTTTCAAAACTATTTTGTAGAGCTTAAAAAAACAAATAATTTAGTATATTGAAGCGTTATAATGCGCCTAATGGTTACGGAGAAAATTCCAAAAAATTGTAAATTTAAAATTCCCATGTTATTCTTATGGAGAATAAGTAAACTGTTGTAGTTTGCTTGTTTATAAACATATTTTGCCCAAATTTGGAAAATGTTTTTATTTCTTACTAACTATTAACATTCTACATAAAAAACACTTTTACCCTCCCTGTTGCAGCAAACCTAAGTATGTTTTAAACTGATTCTATTTGAATAGGGAATAAATGTGATATTTTTAAGGAGACATTTTAGTGTAAATCCATTCAGGGAAATGGAAATTCGCTTAGTCTGCAGGTTTGCTGCGGCGGGGGTATTTTGTCACTATTGATATCTTCTAAAATGTTTTCACAGGATTTTTAAAACAAACCCTTATTTGCATGGGGAAAATCTTGTCCTGTCCCAAAAATCAGGGAGGAAGTATGAATCCTGTCCCATGATAAACTAAAAGTCAATCCCGTCCATCCCTAAATCATGCATAAGGTTAGGGTCAAGGATGGTGTTTTGGATTGCCTACCATGTTGAAAAAAAGTCCAAAATGAGCTCCCTCCACTGCTTGCTCCAAGTCACAGTCTGGGAAGATAATGTTCGGGGACTTTCCTCCCAGCTCCAGAGTTACTCTCTTCAGGTTTGTGGAACCAGCAGCCTGCTTGATCAATTTTCCAACCTGAGAAAGACAAGAAACATATAACTTGCAGCTGCACATGATGCACTCATGCGGAGCAAGTGCTATTTTCGTGTACAGGAGGTTTTAATTATAATTTAAACTTTAAGTAAAACTATTAAATCGGCATAAACTAAACTCACATTAATTAATTTAATTTTAATGCCTTCTAAACACATTAATTAACCATATCCACCAACCATAATATCCATAAACCATATCTATATAAATAAAATTAGAGTTTTGCCTGTACATTGCTCAGAATTAAATATTTTTTGGTTATTTTTACGTTATTTTTTTCTCTATCATATGTGTGCGTATTTGTCATATGTTAATTTTTCTTTCTGTTAACTTTTTCAATGCATTGTTTTTCTTGCTCATGTTAATATTAGTCAGAGAAATATAGGATATGACCTTACAAGAATTGCAAGAAAACGTTTTATGGTTTTATTTTGTAGTGTTGGGTGTGCAGAGTGACATAGGTACTAAATGTTGCCAAAAATCGGTCCATGGAAAACCCCTCAAATCATGATTAAAAATGACGGCTTTTCCCAACATTGGACAAATTTTGAAAAAAAAAATACCACATACATTTTATATGCACATTTTTTGAGAAATTGACTTGGGACACAGGCACCTCTAATACAAGGCCGCGGCGATCGAAAAGCGGCAACGTCGCATCAGTGTCTTGGTGCGCGGTCGTCTTTCCATTACAGTAAATGGAGGAGTCGCGTACTCGACGTACATAATTGCGTTTCTGCTACCCTTAACACGTTCGCTGCGGCACGTCAAATAGCGGGCGTATCCCCAGTGCGGCGCAGCCCTCAGCGTCGAGTAAACCCGATTGCCGCGTGTGATTGGCCTTTTCAATTTTGGTCTGACGAATAGCAAATAACGTGAGGGGATGTCCTGCTTTACAACGAGAGTCGATCTAGTTCGCTAAACACCCACAGATAGCAGCACTGCTTGGAACGTAGCCGGTCCCATTGGAATTGTATTGCCAAATGGAGGGAAAAAGACGGGACAAAAAGAAGACTTTTGGGATTGCCAGACGGGGATTTTACGGGGAAATTTACTACCAACCTACACCACAACAAAATGCAAGTCACATACTACACGCTAACGTCGTATAGGTCCGCTTTCGGCCGACGCTAGAGCAAAAACGAAGATATACAAAAGGCATTACCGAGCGTTCCCGATGGGGTACGGACGCACCGTACGGGGGCCAAGTGCCGTACCCGATCGGGAACGGCCGCACTCTACGTGTTAATCATTAGTAATGACATTGAGATTGTTACTACACCATGCCAGATAGATGTGATGTGCCTGGATGCAAGAATAATTACGAAAGCTCAATTAAAAATGAATAATACATACAGTGTTCTAAGATTCTAAGCGATCCGCCGCGTCAGCAACAATATCTTCCTGCTATTCTTTGGTCAAATTAGACATCTTAAAACAATTCTCGTTTTTGTGTGAAACATTTTCACGAATATGAACTTAGATTTGTAAAAAAATGTAAGAATAAGACATTGATTCGTGTAAATATAGACGCGAGAAGTGATTTTTAGATGAGAATGCCGTACTATTTCCTTATTTATTTGTCTATCTTATTGATAAAAGCTGTTGTTATGTGATAAAAATAACTAAAATAACTGGAACTTAAAGAAATAAACCGGCGTTAAGTAGGCCTGGTAAAAAATATGTAGCCTACAGTATTACACTATCTAACAATAAAAGAATCATAGTCTCCGACTCAATTTTGAATGTTGATGTTATAAAAAATTCTATTAATATTGTGGAAATCCATATGGAGGCTTAGATTCTGAAATCGTTTACAAAATATTCAAAGTAAATAAATTATTTAGTCAGTATGCCTTCCAAATGAAAACTTCAAATTTTGTTGTTGCTAACTTATGGTTTCCTCGGGTAGTCTGAAACATAATATTTCTATTGAAAATTGAAAATTAATTTCATTTGAACAAATTGTTAGATGCTAGTCTCTACAAATCTCAAAGTCTCAACAAATCTCAGAGTCTCTACAAATATTGAAGTGGCAATAAGTTAGTCCTACTGTATTACCATTCTTGGTATAGTAGTTATATTTTGAAAAATTTAACCCCAGTCTGTCTAGTAGTTTTTACTATACAGGGTTAGGCAAAAGTCTGGAACCCCCCCATTAACTTTAAAACGAATCACGCCAAGGAAACTAAACTGAGCACACCTTTATATGAAATGAAAATGCACTTTTTGGTCAGTATAAAAATTTTTTCCGGGACCCCAAAATGGGGGATTTTGGGGGCAACTCAAAAATTTCAAATGTTAAGCCCCATCGAGTGACACCTCATTTTGAAGGTCTTGATTTAAGAAAACAAACAACGCAAACTAGAGGTCCCTATCTTAACCCAGTCAAAAATGGCGGTCACTTGAAATTTCAAAAAAAGCAATTTGGAAATTTGAATAAAAAGTAATAACCCCCCTTCTAAGTTTTTTCTAATGTTAATTACAAAGATATCCTTTTGGTGGTTGTGCAACCTTCGCAGGTACTTTATTATTGTCATTTCAAAAATTTTGAATTTTCACCGAAAATGGGGGGTTTTGGGGGCAACTCAAAAATTTCAAATGTTAAGCCCCATCGAGTGGCACTTCATTTTGAAGGTCTTGATTTAAGAAAACATACAACGCAAACTAGAGGTCCCTATCTTAACCCAGTCAAAAATGGCGGTCACTTGAAATTTCAAAAAAAACAATTTGGAAATTTGAATAAAAAGTAATAACCCCCCTTCTAAGTTTTTCCTAATGTTAATTACAAAGATATCCTTTTGGTGGTTGTGCAACCTTCGCATGTACTTTATTATTATCATTTCAAAAATTTTGAATTTGCACCGAAAATGGGGGATTTTGGGGGCAACTCAAAAATGTCCAATTTTAAGCCCCATCGAGTGTCACCTCATTTTGAAGATCTTGATTTAAGAAAACAAATTGTGCAAACCAAACTTTGTCATCTACTTCCAGAGTAATTTTATTAGTTCACTTACAATTATTTTACATTGAGGAAAACCAGCCGCATTGGAAAACCCCGCATTGGAAAACAATAACTCTTGAGGGTAACTTTCACCGGCTTTGACATTCTAGGACCACAACCTTATCAGTAACTATCAGACTGGCATTTGGGTGAGACTAACCACTAGCCAATATGGTATGTTTCATAATTTTACTGTAAAATGGAGCTGAGTGAACAAGAGCGGATCACTATACTAATTATGCGAGGATATGGTGACAGAATCAGAAGTTATGTACAGGTAAAAAACTTATTTAATGATTCTTTTCCTAATCGTAACCCTATTTCAAAATCAGTGGTAATAAAAACTGTTCAACGTTTTGAAGAGACAGGCAGTGTCAAGGACCGTCCCAGATCAGGAAGACCGAAAACTGCTACAAACGAAGAAAAGTCATTGGATGTTTTGCAATCTGTTGTAGAAAATCCCCATGTCTCAACAAATGTTGTTGGCCTAAGTGTAGAGATCTCCCAAAGATCAGTGCGTAGAGTTTTACACGACAGCGGTTTTAAAGCATACAAACTTCATTTAGTTCAGGAACTATCTGAGGATGACTTCGATCGTCGAGTAGAATTTTGCGAGTTAATGATGTCACGTATTGATAACAATACTATTCAATTAAATAACATTGTTTTCTCAGATGAAGCAACTTTTATGGTAAACGGAAATGTCAACAGGCATAATTGTCGCTACTGGTCTGATGAAAACCCTCGCTGGATGAGAGAACAACATACACAACATCCGGAAAAATTAAATGTTTGGCTTGGTATTGTAGGAGATAGATTTATCGGACCGTTCTTCATTGAAGGTAATCTTAACTCTGCAGTGTACCTGACAATGCTCCAACAGCAGATTATTCCCGCTGTCCAGTTAGCAACTAATAACAGTGATCAGATTTGGTTCCAGCAAGATGGAGCACCTCCACACTATGGCCGGGATGTCCGCACGTATTTGAACAACATGTTTCCAAATCGCTCGATAGGGAGACGAGGGGCTGTCGAGTGGCCTGCAAGGTCACCTGATTTGTCACCACTTGATTACTTTGCTTGGGGCCACATTAAAGATAATGTGTATAAAACAAAACCACAGTGCATCAATGATCTGAGGAACAGGATAGTTGAGGAAATTCACAATGTTCCACGAGAATCCATTCAACATGCTGTTTCACATTTTTACAACAGGCTAGGACATGTCCAGACAGTACAAGGGGAGCAATTCGAGCATCTTTTATAAGGAAATTAGGTGAGTAGAAGCAATAAAATTTGATAATAATTATTAATGTTAAGATGTTTTCCTACGCCATATTGAAAGTTAGTGATTAATAAGAATTGTAACATAAATTTTGTCTAATAACGTTTTGCTTTTTAATAAAACTTTAGTACGCACTGTTTATTGACTGTTTATTGATCAAGAATCTTCAAAAGAGGTTATTCAATAGTGCGATGCATTTTCAAGTGACCGCTATTTTTGACTGGGTTAAGATAGAGACCTCTAGTTTGCGTTGTTTGTTTTCTTAAATCAAGACCTTCAAAATGAGGTGTAACTCGATGGGGCTTAACATTTGAAATTTTTGAGTTGCCACCAAAATCCCCCATTTTCGGTGCAAATTCAAAATTTTTGAAATAACAATAATAAAGTACCTGCAAAGGTTGCACAACCACCAAAAGGATATCTTTGTAATTAACATTAGGAAAAACTTAGAAGGGGGGTTATTACTTTTTATTCAAATTTCCAAATTGCTTTTTTTGAAATTTCAAGTGACCGCCATTTTTGACTGGGTTAAGATAGGGACCTCTAGTTTGCGTTGTTTGTTTTCTTAAATCAAGACCTTCAAAATGAGGTGTCACTCGATGGGGCTTAACATTTGAAATTTTTGAGTTGCCCCCAAAATCCCCCATTTTGGGGTCCCGGAAAAATTTTTTATACTGACCAAAAAGTGCATTT